CACCCACTTAGCAGTAGCAACCCCAAAAGCTACATATAAGTACAGTCCCTTGCCCAGTGATGCTGCTGCAGTAAGTCTAGCCAGTGCTTGTGCTGGGAGCTGCAACCTGACAGATTGCAACCTCTGCAGCTGAGCATAGTTGTCAAATGTAGGACAAAAATAAAAGGCTTGCAAAGGCTACTTGATGGTGAGTGAGAACAAACTGTAGTGTGCTTTAGGGTGCTAACGTGTTATACAAGGGTTATGTTAACAAAGGTTGGCAGTATGTTTTTGAGCAGAAAATGGAAAAGTGTGGAAGAGAATGTTTTTTGATGGATAACCAGTCTTAGAAATAACGGCTTCTCTAGTAAGGAGTCTGGGCTTCCTTCAGAGCTTCATCCAGCTTGCTGTTCGGGTACAGAGCTGCATAATGGCAGTTCAAGTTAGATTCCATTGCTTTTCTTTTAGTGAACAATCCAGCATATTGCCCCTGTAGCACTTTGATTGGCACACAAAAGCCAGCAGTCTAACCAGGGTGTCTCATTTAACAGTGCAGAACACTACCATAATTTGTTCCCTTTCATTCTGCTCTGCACTTTCTCCTGAGTTTTGAGAAAGTGTAGGTGTACTTGACATAAGCAAGGAGTGTGTTTCTGTCTCTGAGCCTACGTACCAGGTTGTAATGTAGACAGATTTCCCTAGGCTTTACAACATGTGAGGTTAAAGATAAAAGGTAGCTTACTGTTTAGCATGTCCCGTGTAAGTCTTGTCTGCTTCTCTCCTCTTCCCCTCCAAATGAGCACGTTTGCAGGTCAAATAAAAGGTGTCCGGTTTGTGATGCCTTATGCACGAAGAACTGCATGGAGAAACTGAAGGAAAATGGCACAGGCCCACAAACCAAATCTTAGAGCTAGTATTCTAATTATGCATGATTCACAATGTCTAGTGTAATGTAGTTATTACCAGTAAATTGAGATATGCATTTATACATAATGAAGCAATAGGAAATTATATACCAATAGCTTGAACTTCCTGCTTTGATTCTCAAATTTTGGGATTGTTTTGTTTTTGTTCTTAGAGAATGTGCTGCCTCTGTAGAGAAGGGGGCAGAATGTATAGATAGGGTCAGAAGCATGGCACCAAAACTGTAAATCAGGAACCAGGATCAGCAGAACTCGCCTTCATAACCTCTTGTCTGGTTCATATTAGTGCCCTGAGCATGTAAAAAGCAGGGCATGAACTAAGCATGTTTAGGGGCGAGATGAGGTTTCTCACCTGCTGCAGCTGTAGCAAAGAAAAGGGTGCAGAGTTTCTTACATGGTGCAGGGGGGAGCAACTGGTGGAAAAAAAGAAAAAACAGTAGCAGAAACAACAGACTCAAAATGAGTGTAGTGTTTGCCAGACAGTAGGTAATAAGCTTGTCTGTGGTGAGAGAACTTATTTGGAGAAGACTGAAATTAATAAGCACAGTACATATATTTCAGGTGTTGAATAGCTTTTTAATAGACAGTATTTTCAGGTAACTCTCTAGCCACACAGGCAGCTGTACTGAAGCATACTGGTACCAGCCAGCAATAATGGCATCTGCAGGAACGAACCTGAAAATACTGGTAATCTTGTATATTTTTTAAGTTCTTTGAAAAGGAGATTTTTAAAAACAGAAAATGAGATTTGATCACTGAAGGTCTTTATCTTCTGCAACACGGGTTGCAATATAATATTTTTTCTTTATTTCACTTATTAAGTAAAAGGGAACTTGGGTGCCATCTTTCTGTAAACTTTGATTCTGCTTTCAGTAATATCTCCCAAGTCCTTTAGTGATAATGCAGTGGATTTCTGCTGGTGGTTTGAAAATAACACAGCACAGTGGATGTCACCGACGCTTTTGCTATTTTCAAGTAGAATACTGGCTTGTTACTGCAGAATTCCGTACTTCTAGCTTAGCTTAATTTTGCAGGTGGGCTTAACTTGTGCAGAAAACTTCTCCATGTACAGAGGCTCGGTCCTCTTTCTTAAGCAGAAAGGGGTGGTGTCTTGGAGGAAGGAATTGTGTCAAGTTAACTCCTGTTCATACTTTGTAGCCAACCATCCATAAAGCACCCTGATTTGGGTTTACAATGGGGCCATGTTTTTCTCACGAATGCTTTCTAGATATACAAGAATTGCCAAATAAAATAGGAATATTATAAGAGAAGATTTAACTATTTTACTGTACGAAGTTAGATGAAATGAAATCCTTTGAGCCGACTTCTTCAAGAAAAAATGGAATTGGTGAAACAAGTTTAGCCCAGCAGTTAATTGTGGCCACCTAATGCTGAGTTGGGTTTTTGTTTTGGTGTTTTTTTTTTTTTTTTTTTTTTTTTTTTTTTTTTTTTTTTTTTTGGAACATTTCATGTGGTTTTAAACACTGTTATGTATGTTTTCTTTTGTGTAATGAGCAAACACTTGAATCCATTGTTCATGCTTATCCTCTCCAATATAGAACCTGGGGAGTAAGCTACTTTAGGACTTCAGTAAAGACATCTTCCTTTTGAGAAATGTGATCTAACAGCAAAGGAGAGGTGTTTATAAATTGTTAAAAATAAGCTTAATACTTACAAACCAGGTTAGAGAAGACTTCTTATACTGAACTTCTGATGGCATTACTCACGCGGGTTAGTGGAGAGAATTACTGGTATCACTAGGATCTATGTACTTGCATTGCACGTGTTTTACATGGTAACAGTAAAAGAATGTTTCCCTGCAAATTCTGATGTTTTTTCCAAAAGGCAGCTTGCTTTTATATCTATGCATCTTTGAGGATTTCAAGATAAGATTTTATTCTTTTGACGCTGTAAAGAGGAACTGTTTAAAAATGAACTTGGAAACTCTGCACCTGTATACAAATTTTTTTAGCAATAAAGCAGCACAGGCTGAGAATGCACGAAGACTTGATGTGTCATTTGTTCAAAAGACAGATTAACCAAGTTGCAATACACTGCATCTTCAGTCAGGTGCTTCTTGCACTTCTGAAACATTGCTGTACCTTTGTCAGTGCTTAACAATTTGAGATAAACACCCATTTGCTGTATGGCTGCTTTGGATCCAGCTGTTTCAGCAGATTTCTGTCACAAGAGGCTCTCCAGCTTCCTGGAATGCAACCCAAGAATAATTGTCACTGTATTGCAACTTAATATAAGATGGGCAAGTAACCAATAAAAGCTTCAAAGGCTGTTTTAGACAGTAGCAGAGAGCTTCTGATCTTGTAAAGTGGCTTGCCTACAAGGACTAATTCTCTGGAAACTGTTTCTCATGCATGTGGAGTGTTTATTTTGGTGACTGAAACTTTTCAACAATTCCTTCAGTCAATATTTCACAACCTGTAGGTAGGCACAACTTTCCTTGCAACTGCTGCTAGAAGCAATTTTGGGAAGCTCTATAAGACAGCAGTAAGACACCACCTCCTGAGGACTGTGTTGAAGAAGCCATGGCTACTAACACTGCTGTAAACTTTCCAAAACTTCTCAGAGATTGCTAACTGTTATGTTAGCTTATAAAACACTAATTGTATGATTGTTGCTTCAGTAATTCACTTCACCTTAATTTGTTTCATTTTCTGCTTGCTTTTCTTTATAGGTTCCAGAGAAGATAACAGCCAGTTAGCTCATTTAGGAATAAAGACAGCTGTGGCCTGACCATGAGACTTGCTTTTCAAGCAAGTATTTGTTTAAATAGAGAATTCATCCATTCTGAGCCAGCCTGGCCCTGGCTACACATCTCAAGATACCTAGCTAGAGATTTGGTTGCACACTGTAAAACTGTATATTCATTCATTAACTGTAGATTCCAGCAGAATTTGAGCCTGGGACAGGGTGAAATTGAAAGCTGAATCTTTCAGGAAGAAAAGTTCAAACATCACTTAAACTGGAGCCTTAGGTTTAAATTACTGTCTTAGTAAATGTTTGCTGCAGACTGCTGACAATACGGTTGCATTTTATTTCTTTAAATTAAGGTGGTTTGCTTTTCAAAACAGGTTTTACTTAAACTGTACTGCTGTGAGTGCCAGCAGGTCAGTTGGGCAGTAGTCAGTGCCAGGAAAAAACATCTTTTGACAAGTAGGCACAAAGTTCCACACGATGACTCAGTAGAGCTGAAGTCTTTCCAGTTCAAAAGATAAGCCAAATGCAGTTTAAAAGTGAGCTTACAACTCGCATGATACTAACAAGGTCTGTATAATACCTATTTGTGAATCCCATCATTTTTATTTAAAAAAACACAAAGATAATATATAAAAATGTAACCAACAGCTGCATTTTTTTTTTCTCTTAGGGGTGGATTCTTAGCTAAATGAAGCAAGAGAACTTAATACTATTTATATTATACATAGTACAAATGTAGAGCTTTATGACAAGAAAAAAGTCAACGCAAAAAAAAAAGCAAACAGAAGGGCAGAAGTGAGTAGTCCCATTATCAATCATGTTTCTGAGACTGATGCAACAACAAATAACTGCCACTCAGAAGTAATGCAAAGGTGAAGTTACATAATGGCAAACACCTGAGACGGGAAGGGTGTTTGCACAAGGTGTGTTTAGTGACAGAACTCCAGTCAAAGAGCAGCAGTTCTTCAAATGTAATTTAGGTAAAGAAGTCTTTAAAAAAATTATTTGTTTTTAATAATGAAGCAGTCAAATATAACTCCAGACTTTACGTGAGTATAAAGTGACAGCTGTTGAGAACAACAGCTCTCCAGTTAAGAGTTCAGACTAGAGCATACACTGAAAGAAACATTTATCGTTATAGGCGGTGAAGCAGATTTTAAGAGTGAGTAACACTGCCTTCAGGTGTTTCGATAGCCCAAATTTAGCTGTCATTGAAAAGTACTGCATTTGTGCACTTAAAGAAGTTGTAAAACATGGATAATAACCATTTCCATAGCTCACAGTTGAGGAATTTAATAGAGATCTGCTTCCTTCCCAGCAGAACAGCTCTTAACAAGGCTGTGTTATTACTTGATCAGAACAGACTGAGACCATCCAGAAGTCTTAATAAAAGACTCAAATTTATTGAAGGCAACTGCTCACAGCGTAAGATTCATGGAGCACACAGAACTTGATCCATGCAGCCATGTGACTGCATTTCCAGGTGACTTTGGAAGAAACAAGCATTGTACCTTGATTTGAAATCTGTAACCTCACGCTCCAGTTAGCTTTGCACCATATAGTCACCAAGCGCGGCTGTGCAGCTTCTGGGAAATGCTAACTTGTTCCTTTTGCAGGCCACATATACAAGCAGATTCTTCCAAAGAATTCATTGGGAGGCTATTCAGAAGTCTCACATACCAGATGTAGCTAATGAATCACCCGACAGCTAGCTGCCATGAATATTCTATATATATGAAAAGATAGAACAAAACTTTAGAACTCCTTAAGAACCTTTAAATTACAACGCTTCCTCTCAATTATTGTTATGATAGTGTGTCTGGTATGGTTCTATAGACCTGATTTTATTGTTGCAAAAAGTGTTCTACCTCTTTGAAGTCATTATGGAGAATCACAACCAAAGTTCAGACTTAGAGAATTATATGCTGCACAAGTAAATTGTTCATGCTAGATGATGAAACTTAGCAGAGCTGCAGAAACGACTCCAGTAGTTCCTCAAAATGGCATATTTCTTGGTATCGACTATTGCATATCCTGGCATTAGGACATGTGATGCAAAGCTTTGTTTTCTGCCACATTATTTTGTTTCAGTTGCTCCACCTTCTTCATCAGCAATTCGATGCGCATGTGTGTCATCACAAGGCTTTCTTTCAGCTAGAAAAAAAGAAGAAAAAAGAGAGATGGGAGTTGTAAGATTAGAGAAAACTGTTCTGGATGTTTAATGTTCAATGACATGCATCCCACTTTCAGTGGCTAAAGCACAGATGACTTTCAAAATGGAAAATGATGCTGGACTTTATGTTCTATGTCTAGAAAAGCCAAAACTAACCAGGACTCAAATCAGAAACCTGTGCTAGAAAAAAATGATTGTGGGCCAGCACAATTAGTGTGTCAGAGATGCACGGAAACGTTCCACTTGAAGAGCTGCTGAAGCGTTGCTGTGATCAGGGCAGTATTTTCTCGTTAACTCATTACATGTTTTTTTACATAGACTATGATTCTGCTTTACAAAATCTGGAGATGGCATCATCATCAGTTTAGGACAACCCTTCAAAAATTTCTAGAGTTTGGGGCTTAAGTTAACACATGAAAAGTACTGTAGGCAAGGTATATCTTTATAGCTTTTATCTTATCTTTACGTCTTTTAAGATACATCTTTAAGATGTATTTTAAAAAGCAAAGACTAGAGTCCAACACTCGCTCTAATCAACATACAACTTTTCCAAAATCCCTCAACGCGTGTTTGCAATGAAGCACTCCTACTTTTACCTCAGAATGATCTATTTCAGCTTCAGGGAAACTTAAGCCTGGATGACATTTGTGCATTTTAGTGTCAGTTCCCATATAAAAACAATGGAATCCCTTTCAATTTGACAAATTTGTATACGTGTTTTTTATTCTTCAACAGTGACTTTTCAGTTCTAGGAACAACACAGCTAGCAATATTTAGGGAAAGTTTTATTTAAAAAGGATTTTCTGTTTTGCTTTCAACATGTAGAGAAGTACGTACCCTTCCCTGTTGACAACATTTGGGTAGCAAAATTACACATACACATTCACTAAAAAAAGAAACACCATGCTTTTGTCAGAAAATTAGCTAGAACTTGATATGTGTTACAGATAAAATAATATTATGAAGTATTTTAGTTAGCCAAAAATACTGGTATCAAAAAGTATTTCTTGCTATTTTCATACAAAGTCATGCGGAAACCTTACTTTCTCTATTTGATCCTTTAGGGTCACAGCAGGAAATTTCACCTTAGAAGCTTCTATTATCATTTTGCTTTTTAAGAGATAACTGGAAAACAAATGGGGAATGGGAAAAACAAGAAAAACAGTTGAAAACAAGTAGTTGCATTCATTTAGACAGACTATTTGAGCTGATTTTAAAGCAGATAAAACTCTTCCCTAAAGTACTTCCCTAAAGTACCTAGATAATGAAAATATTAAAAACCATAACACATTTACTTCCAAATCATAAAATCCCCTCAGTACCAGCTAGTGAGGCACTGGAACAGGTTGCCCAGAGCTGAAGTAGGTGCCCTGATCCTGGAGACATTCAAGATCATGCTGGACCAGGCTCTGAGCACCCTGCTCTAGCTGTAGGTGTCCCTGTTCATAGCAGGGGAGTTGGACTAGATGACGAGAAGGCCTGTAAAGGCCCTTTCCAACTCAAACAATTCTGTGATTCTATAATCAGGTCCATCTATCGCAGACCTGTTTTATCTCTGACATTAGTTAGGTGGATCTGGAACTGAAGGAGATCTCAGTACCGCAAATAGCTGAATTTAAACTTTGATGTGAAGAGACTCAGAAAGTATAAGGTAAATCGAATGGAATCATGACGACACAAAGTGAGAACAGAATATTAAAATCCCAGTGAAGCTCTCAATAAAGCAGCCTTTGTTAGGTGCGTGTTAGCTGTATTCGTGCTGGAATAAGTTGCAAATTGCCATGAAATCCCTGACCGTTAAAACACTGGGGAGAGCACCCACCAGAAGATGCTTTTCTTGAAGAAACAGAAGAAGCCTCGGAGATGGGTCAGGTCTCTGAAGGCAGAATAGAGAACAAAGCCCACAACTGTACCACACGACTGACAAGACAACGTGTTGTAAGCACTAAAAGGAAAAGCAGAACAATTCTATTATTAAATAAAAGCTTCTGAAACCACAGATACTGCTTCTCACTTGTCAGAGGACACAGATTAAGCGTAGATTCAAACAGGCGTGGAAAACCTCTGTATTAATCAAAGTTGAAAGGAGAGATTAAATCCACAGCGCATCGCACGGAACGCTTTAGGCTCTGAGACTCCAAAGTGACGTAAGGGCGCTGCTACGCACCATCCCGTCAGGGCTCCCTCCAGGCCGACCATCAGCTCCTCCTCGCACAGCACGTTGCTGGTGACTCCTGAGGAGAGAGGAGAAGCGCGTGGAGAAGCAGCGTGCGTAGGCGGAACCAGCCCCAGCCCGGCCCGCAGCACTGACTGAGGCAGACGACGAGGCCGAGGCGCTGCTCCTCCAGCGCGCACAGATGCAGCGAGTCGCCCAGCACCGCCCAGCACCCGCGGCACTGGAACACGGCGCAGTCCTCCGCTCGCAGCTCGCAGCACTGCGGCACCTCTGAAGCCGAAGCAGGAGCAGGAGCCGGAGGAGGCTCAGAGGAGAGCGGCCGCTCCACCACGATCGTGCCGCGGATCTGCGGCTCTTCGAAGAATCGTCGCAGCTGCCTCCGCACCGCCATCTCCTCCCGTCCGGCGCTGAAGCGCACCGCCCGCCTCGGCCTCGCCATGGGAGCGCTGTTATTGGGCAATAGCGACGTCAATTCTCGCAGCACGGGGCCATTGGGAGGTGGGCTGCGGCGCCTCGTTCTGGCGGCCAATCAAGCAGTAGAGGGCGGGGATTTCCCGAGCAGCCTGCGCCAATCGTGATTGAAAAACAGCACGCTGGTGGCCACAGCAGCCATTGGTCGATTCCTGTGCCTCTAAGCCCGCCTCCCTCACCTGGCCCGGCCAATGGCCGGTCGCGGCGGGCAAGTTCGAACGGTGGAGGCGGGAGCAAGGCGCTCCGTGTCGGTTAAGCGCGAGATTCGAAGAGTGGCGGTTGGTAGTGGAGTAATAATGGCGCTCTCCTCACAGATTCAGTCTTTAGACGCGCTGAAGTACGTTGAGCTGCAACAGGTTGCCAAGGCCGCCGGCCTGAGGGCCAACCTCCGGGTGAGTGGGGGCGGCCTGGAGGAGCGGTGCGGGAACGTGGTGCCTGAACGTGGTGCCGTCGTCCCCGCGGTGTCGCTGGCGCTGAGGGAACCGCATCCCTTTGGCGCTGAGGGCGGCGGGGCGGGCGGCGTGTCCGGGAGCGGCCGCGGCCGTTGTGGCCTCAGCGCTGTGGCCCGGTCCGCTTGGTGCTGGGCAGGGCGGCCAGGCCGGCACGAGCCCTCTCTGGGTTCAGGCGGTCTCCTTAGGCAGTGTTTAGTTCATCTGTCGCTTTGGTTTTTCTTCAGGCCGACAAGCTGTTGAAAGCGCTGAAGCAACACTTCCAAGGAAGAATGCAAGAAAATGAAAATACGGTAATAGATGATCAAGCAGCCCTTCTTTTTCAGAAAGAATTGCTTTAGTGGTGTTAATTGTAATAAAAGTACTTTTTCAATGGCGCTTTTAGTTTAACGCGCTCATGTATTAGTAGATGTGTGTGTGAATGCTTGATATGCCCTCCTGAACAACAGAAGGCATTAATTCTGCCTGAAGTTTATCTGTTAGTATCAATACAAAATTATTCCCTGTAACCACTGACGTTTAAACTTCTTCATTTTATATTCTATACTAACTAATCCCAAAGCATTTTACATCTGCAATTCACTTACACTGACATTATAACAAAAGCAAAAAAGGCAGCTGTGGAAAGATCTCATTATGGCCTTACAATATTCAAAGGGAGCCTATACATGAGGGAAGTTAGTTTTTTACATGGGTAGATAGTGACAAGACAAGGGGGAACGGTCATAAACTAAAGGAAGGGAGATTTAGATTATAATTAGATTTAGAAGTTTTTTTTACTGAGAGAATGGCGAAGTGCTGGAATGGGTTGTCCAGACAGGTTATGGATATTGTGACCTTGGAGGTTTTCAAGGCCGGGTTGGAAAGGGCACTGGGCAATCTGATCTAGTAGTACTTAATCTAGCAGCTGGCAACCCTGCCTGTAGCAAGGGGGTTGGAACCTGCTGATCCTTGAGATCCTTTCCAACCCAAACCATTCTATGATTCAATACACTTGATATTTCTTTTATTCATTTATATTAGTTGCTTTTCTTATTAAGTTTCCTATGAGCCAAAATATTGCATCTAACACTTCCTTATGCTTTTGATAAATTTGTGTCTACTTTTTCTAAAACAACTCATTAAAATTTGCCTTTATAATCTACTTCTCTAAATTCATGAGGAAATTGTGTAGTCTTTTGTGGCTTGTATGTGTATATTTCTGTAGGATAATTTTAACAGATTTTGGAGGATAGCAGCTTCATTCAAGTCAGATCTCAAATACTAAGTGGCTGCTCGCTTTTTTATATAAGTAGTTGCTTACTGAATATAAGTACTACAATTATTTTATTACGTAGCTTTTCCATGGTGATGTAGTTAGGGTGTTTTGGGAAATCTAGATATTGCCAAGTTAGTTACTGTACTACTTAAGTGTACTTTTGCTTTCGTCTGTGTGAAGTGCCTTTTCCAATAATGATGTTGAAGCTGTCCCTTCAGAGCGCCTATCTGCTATATGTGTGTTCCATGTTATGGTACTTTTCTGATACAGAATTCTGAAAAAAGCATGCCTGCTTCAATGGACTCTGAACCGAGCTGTCAGCAGGAATTCATGCCTAATCCAGCACGTTTTGTCACAAAAAGATGTAAAGAAAAGAAAGCAACCAGGAAAAAGAAGAGCTCTGATATGGAAGCCAATGACAGTGAAGAAAATACAGGGCCCTCTGTTGAGATGGAGGTAATTTGTATTGCTTTCTTTTGTGTGTCTGTGTCTTGCAATGAAACTGGAGATTTAAAATAAATAAATAAAGGCTTGATTAATTCTGCTACCAGGTTAGCAGGTAAGGGTTTCATTTTTGTATGTAGGTGTACAGAAAACAAGAACTTGTACTTTATACCCCAGATCTTGTCTAATTGGACTGTATGCTACTCCACAATGAACAGAAATGTCTTATGAAATTAGTCTAAGAAAAGAAAACCTTCTGAGGAAGTGCATGATTACTACCCTGAGTGTAGGACTGATTTCACTCGCTCATCATAGTATACATCCGAATGGTTGGAGCTTCACAATTTGGGTGGATGAGTGAGTGAAGTCAGAATTGTGCAGAAAACTTAATGGTAGGGAAATGGTGACATGAGAGGTGTTGGTCCTTTTAGCAGCATGAGTAAATGAAAGCCAGTGGTAACTACAGCTGTGATGGTCAAAAGTAACATAGCAATTGAATGGACTTTTTCTTGAAAATAATTTTGTTAATAGAAGAAACATTGTGCTAGAATGTTAGAACTGTGCAGGGAAAAGCCTTAGTATAGATAATTACAAATATTTCCTAGGTTGACTTACATTGTGTTTCATAAAGCCTCTTCCTCATTCTCTCCCTGAAAGCAGGGTCAGCTATGAGGTTAGATCACAATGCTTGGGGTTTTAAGTGAGCTAATTTTTGTAAAACTCTTCAGCATGGCTGTTACCCCACCTCTCTGGACACACGTTTCGCTGACCAGCTGCTCTCAGAACAAAATCCTTTTCTTATATTCAATTGGAACAAAGTTTAATGAAGTATGCTTAACTGTAGGGGCGTTCTGAAACAAAGGAGAACGAAGTGCCTCAGGGTGATTGTGGAAAGGAAAAAATGGTATTCCAAAATGTGGACCAAGTTACTAAAAAAAGAGCTGATGAGAATCCAAGCACAGCTACTGCTGAGAAGAAGCAGCCAAACAGGACTTCTACTAAAAGCACTAGAGCAGAACGTAAGTAAAAACTTCCACAAACAGGAGCTTTGTAGTACTTTAGATTTACTACTTAGGTTATTTTTTGTCTGTAAATGTTTTCAGTGAAGGAGTCTGAGTGTATTTGATCCTCCTGCTGCTTTGTTTAGGATCAGCGCCTTCTGGAATACACCTGAGATGCCAGTTTTTAAAGGAGCCAAATAGCACAAAAAGGGAAAATGCCTCAGTATTAATTCTTTTTCTTTAGGTGAATGGGCTTTTTCGCTGCCTTCTTGGGAGTACAGCTAGTATAAAAATACATGCAGGCAACACCCTTGTTAATTTGTTAACACACAGATGCTGTTAGGCAGTGTAATGGTGGATCGCTTTTGTATCTGATAAATTTTCATGACCTTAGAGCATGATGCTGCTGAAAATATGGGCTCGCTTCTCCTCCACTCTTTTGTGCATGCAGCTGAACTAGAGAGGAATTAAGTTTGTCTTCCCTATCTTGCTTGATAGATTCACAAAAAATTATTGGACATGTACCATTATTTGCCTCCTGTTAAGTGTCACAGTCCTTGTGATGTACCATGGGTATCTTTGATTGATAGAATTTAAAGCCTTTCCTATTAGAGGTCGTATGTAACTTTAAAGCTAATTAAGAAAACAAAAGTTTTCTATGAAGCTTCTTTTAAAAGCAAATAAAGTATGTAAAAAAATGCTTTGGCTGAAGCAGTACTAAAATTAGTTTCACATTGACACTTGAAACAGTGCTAATCTCTTCCCATAACTGCAACCACAAATATCTGTATTGCTTTAGTTTTTATTTTTTTCCTCTCAACTGTAACTTCAGATGGTAAGATAGCTGTGTAATAGAGGAAAGACTATAACTACACTTAATGCATGTTGGTTTTGTCATAGTACTGACCTGAAGGCAGCAATGATTTAAAAAGCTGAGGCTCTTGTGTGCATATTTAAGGTGGTGGCAGAAAGGCTAGCTAGAAGATATTTCTTTTTTCAGTTATCAATATTTTAAAAACATTAGCTTATGAACTGGATAAAGACCTGTGAGTTGTAGTTGCTTACTACAAGCAAAGTTCTCTTGATAACTCCTCCTGTGAAATACTTCAGTGTTGAGAGAAAATAACCTGGTGTGACTGTCAAACTTGTGCTTCGCTATGTAGTTCATCAGGGCATGTTTTTACTGACATATCATTTAAAAGACTTCTGAGATACTTAGAACTTATCTACTTCAAATGAGGTTTTATTTCTTGAAACCTAAACCACTTTGAGGAGATGAGGTGTGTTTTGCCACAAGTGCTTTAATAAAGGATTGTATTGATGTTGAAATATTTTTCTAGTAGTTGTAACAGTTTTGTTTAATCTTACTGTGCCAGGTGATCCTCATCCTGCAGGACAGAAGATTCCTTTGTATGTTGGTGGTGCATCTAAGCCTGGGAAAACAGGGCTGAAAGCTACTACACCAAGTAAGATAATCTTCCATGCTTAAAAAGAGAAAATATTGCCTGTGTATGAAAAGAGATGAATTGCAGGTTTTGCAAAAATACAAATCTGGATTCTATGAACCAAGAGGCTGTCTTCTCTTTAAAAAGCAAAGCAGAAAAACAAAACAAACCCAGAACACCAAAAATTACACTGATGTACATCTTCCCACTTGCTTATTTGGTGTTTTCTGGATAAAACACTTACACTTGAAGTTTTCAAAACAGCGAAGAGTAGGAAGGTGTGCTCTGACTCCCGATTCCTACTTGTTTTTACTTTATCAATACTACAGTTGTGATAACCATTCATCATTT